TTTTTCGGTAGGGTCACAAACGCCGACATCAGCCAGTTTTGCGATATTATGCTGGATTCATATATTTTGTTGAACAAATTCACTAATCAGACTATGAAGGCTTTCACGGCCGGTCAGATTACATTTAGGAATGTTTTCCGGGCTTTGGAGCCGTGGTCTATCGGAATTTCTTCCTGACGTTTCGTCCACAACTGCGGTGGACATTTTCGAAGGCGATGAGGCAGTGGGCGAAGTGATCTTCCGTGCTTTCCGACTAAGAATGATTCAACTGCTGGATTCCCAGTCGTATTTATGCCGCCCAGCCGTGTGTGCTCATGCGTGGGGGATGGGTGGGGGTTCCAACGCTTCGGCGCACATGCTGTTTGGCGCAAAACGCGCTTCCAATCTGGATTGAGTGCCGTAATTTCTTCTTTTCTGTTGAAATTGTTTTGGTGTTTAAATATTTCGATGGCCTCCCTGGTGAGTCTCGGGTAGTATCTTTCAGATTGGTGCAGAATGTCAACTTTGTCGAAGCGTATTTGGTGGCCGTCTAGCAGTCCGCTACTGCTGATTTCTCCGTTTGTCCCAATCTGCAACTTCGTTTGTGCTCCGTGATCCTAGTGTTTATGCACTCTATCACAGCTGCACGGAACTCTGTAGACTCCTGGTGCTGATAAAAGATCCCGTTTGTCCTTGGCCGATCTCAAACTCGAACCATCCAACAGACTTTCCTAGGTTTTATTTCAGGATCAAAAATGGATATTGCAACAAGCCTATGCGCCAATTGACGCCGCCCAAATAATCCAAACTTGGTTAGCTGCTAATAATATTTCAGTTCTGGACTGGCCTGCTATTTTGCCAGACTTATATATCATAGAAAACTTATAGGATTGGTTGGTCAAACGCGTTTATACTGAAGAAGTTTAATATTAGCGTAGAATAATTGCCGCTGTTAGAGCAGCCTGGGAGAAAGTTCGAGTGAGTCTAATAGAAAAAGTATTCAATTCATTGCCTCATCGAGTGTTAGCAGTGATTGAGAATCAGGGAGGGCGTACTAAATATGAAAATAAGTGTCACATTAAATGTTGTGTTCTAGTGGTGAATTCTAAAATATGAGAGTAGGTAATCAAGTGTTGCATTAAAAATTACAATATCTGATTTACAAAAACAAATTCAATTGTATAATACAAAAGTGTTAAACAAAGTATTAAATAAATATTGTTTATTTAGTAATAAAAATTAGTAATGAAAATTTCCAGTTTTAATAAAAATTACTCAAAATCATTAGGTAATCAAGTGTCGCGCACTTATTTAGTTACAAAAGCAGTAAATATCGTCAAAGTATTATTAGATCTAAATGTAATTGATGATAAGGCCTTAATTGATTTAAAATCGAGCACCAAAACAAGTCAACGTTATTGTAATATAATATATTGCTCTAATAAAACTGAGTCTCTTTCTTTCAGGTTCCAATCTTCCCTACTCCAAACTTGGTCACCCTGTCACTTGCATCGAATTCTTTGCCTAGCATGCCACCAGAAATGGCAACCAACATGACCAATTTGCAGACGCTAAATTTAAATTATAATAGTTTGACCATCGTGCCAATATTGACACATTCTTTATTCGAATTGAGAGTTTTAACCATGGTGGCCAATCAGATCACCTACCTGAGCAATACAAGTTTATTGGGAGTGGCTGATCATTTGGAAGAACTAGACATTCGTAATTTTGATTTGACTATCTTAGAGGTAAGAAATGGCAAGCTGATATCCACAGGGTAGTTAAAAGTTCTCTGACAAATTTTAGAAGGTGCTTACTGGTATTATCTAGATGAGATCAAATGTGTCGCTAAGTGAGAGTTCTTCCGAAAATCCAATGGTTTGTTAACAAATATGTAGATCTTTTTGTCTACCCGTTTATTGTTTGCTCAATTCTAAAGCAAATAGCTCTATTAAGAATTCTACGTACAACGCATCCTTTTTGAGTAAATTTGCTTAAAATGTCTATGCAAACTGATGGTGCAAAGTTGGATCTAAACAAAACCGCCATTGAGAACCTTCAATTATTACAACTTTTGACCTTAAAATAATGTCAGCACTGTAACTTTCTGGAGTTTGTCTGAAAACAGAAAAATAATAATGTGGTCAGTCAAGTACCACAGAATGTAGAAGAATAAAAAATTAATATTCTTTCAGGCTGGAGCATTCTGCAAAATGTACTCGCTGAGGACATTGAAAATGAATCTTTACACTGGATTTAAGACTTTCAATATACCTACAATAATCCAATGGAATACTGGATTACGCAACTTGGAAATTCACGTAAGAATTTTGATAGTCATAGATAGTGTAATGATAAAAAAATTAAAATTTTAAAATTTTATAGAATCGAATAAAATTTATAGAAACGAAATGAAGCAATTGACGAATTGCATCATAACTTTTGAAAACATCATCTATTTGCTGATATTTGAAGTGTTATTTAGTATCAGTTGAGTTGTTATTGAAGTATTGCTCTGTTCTTTTAATATTTACGTAATTGATTCAATTTGCACATGATCTGAATATGTTTGATTAAACGAGTGATGTGTACCTATGTGATATAGTTCTTATAAAAGAAAACCAAAAAAATTAGATTTAAATAAAGTCAATTAATTTATGTTAATTACCGAAACTAGTATGTACCTACGGGGTGTTTCCTCATACGTTGACGCCCGCCATAGATCGTTTATTTCAAAAAAATTGTGAACCAACACAAAAGTTGTTTAATTTTACTCAAACTTTTTAAATCTGAATTTAAAATAAAAATAGAAAACACGGAAATGGCAAAATTTGACATAAAGTCTTTTGTTTAATAAAACATCCTATATATTTTTAGACAGGTCTATTGGACTTGGTTTTATTTCGTTAATATACACCTCAATATATTGCCTAGATTCGTACTAGTCATTTTTGGTATTATGTTTAAAAATTTTTAAATAGCAACATATTAAAGTAGCCTGAAATGAAACAAAAAACTATAGAAAGAGAACAAACGGAATTTATTCTACTATAAATTTCAAGTTTTGCATCTGACGTCCGTTTAACGCTAGACATGCTCTCTACGCTACTTCAATTTTATTTACAAAGTTTCGAATATATTGGTTATAATTAATATTGATACCGTTAATTGCATCGACTATTTTATGGCGTCTAACTAGATTCTCATACACAATATTATTTAAATAACCCCAGAGAAAAGAATCAAGAGGCGTTAGGTCGGGGCTATTTGGAGGTCATTAGATAGGACCCGCTCGTCCAATCCAGGTATCAACATTTTTATTAAAAAAAAAATGGTACCGGACGAACGTGAGGTGGAGGGAGAGCCTTGTCGTACACAAACGTAATATCGGAAAAACGGCTAATATAAACATAGGCAAAATATATATTTTTGAAAACAGAAAAACCAATTCTTTTGGTATCTATGTGTTTTATATTTTTATTTTAAATTCAGTTTTAAAAAAGCTTAGTAAAATTAAACAACTATTGTGTTGGTTCACAACTTTTTTGAAATAAACGATCTAGGGGGTTGTCAACTTGTGAGGAAACACCCTGAACAAATCGATCTTTAAACACTTCAGAGAAATTGATATAGAATATTATAATAGAATAACAGAAGAAATATGTTTGATGCTAAAAAAATTATTAAAAATGTATGATGTTATGGTTCCCTAGCAACAGCTACACTAGGTTTAGGCAGTAATCCGAAATTTTTAGCTTGAAACGGTAATATTGAAAAAGTACTTTCTCAAATATTATTATGTTATGAAGGAAAGCTATAAAAAAAAGCTTGCAAAATCACCCATGTTTTTAATAAATCATAAAATATAATTATGAAAGAAAACATATTTTTTGTCGTATCATTTAAATGAATAATATATTCAAATGGACAAAATATGTAACTGTCTAGTTTTAATTTTGAAAAAAATGAAAAAAAAGTGCAGCCAAACTATTACAGTATATTGATCAGAAAAATAAGAGCGTAATACATTTAGAAATGTTTTCCGGGCTTTGAAGCCGTGGTCTATCGGAATTTCTTCCTGACGTTTCGTCCACAACTGCGGTAGACATTTTCAAAAGCGATGAGGCAGTGGGCGAAGTGATCTCCCGTGCTTCCAAAATCTCTTCTTTGATTGAAAATTGAACCATCACCCCAGTCAAAAGAGAGGAGTCATAAAAACTCTCACCGAAAGAGCCAGAAGAATCTGCGAACCAGACGAGTTAGAGAGAGAATTAAAACACCTGGAAAGGGCCTTTGGTTGGAATGGATACAGTAAGAAAGATTTCAATAGAGCAATTCGACCAAAAAACAGTGAAGATCGCTCGGAGACAACAGAGACGCATGATGAGCATAAGAGTTGGGCTTGCCTCCCGTACATACAGGGAGTCACGGACAGGATCGGCAAGATATTGGAGAAACACCAAGTAAAAACCATTTTCAAACCAACTCGAACCATCCAACAGACTTTGAGATCGGCCAAGGACAAACGAGATCCTTTATCAGCACCAGGAGTCTACAGAGTTACGTGCAGCTGTGGAAGAGCATACATCGGCACCACAAAACGAAGCATAAACACTAGGATCACGGAGCACAAAC